TGTTGCCCTCCACCATGTTGCCCACCACCTTGCTGCCCACCACCATGTTGCCCACCACCTTGCTGCCCACCACCATGCTGCCCACCACCATGTTGCCCGCCACCGTGATGCCCACTACCATACTGCCCACTACCTGAAAAATGAAAATGGAAGACTTCGTAGTTTAGTGCAAGTCAGAGATTCTGGTGTTGAAATCACTACTCTATGCTTATATTTTGTGAAGAGGTTAGAACAAGAGTACATCTCATTTAACACCTCCATTTATATAGAGTGAAAATTCAATACAGATGCACTGTCAACCAGACATACAATGCAATATTATTAACCAGACGGTACTGTCCTAATGAACCACCAAATTCTTGAGACTCACTTTAAAGGAAATGACTGTCAACCAGCAGGGAGAATTTCAATTTTGAGCTGAATGAGTTGACCAGTTAAACCTAGCAAGGCAACGCATATAGGCGGTTTATCCTGTCAAAGCAGAAGCGATGTATTTTGCGTTTTTTCTCTTCCTGGCTAATCTCTGATATAGATCACCCTACTAAATACATCGGCGCCTTTTTTTCTTTCGTTGTTCAATCTAGCAGATCATCAAAACAAGTACACAGAGATAACGGCAGGCAGTTTGACACGCTTTCGAATCTATTTCGGTCGGACCGAGATGGAGTCTGGGAACAGAGATGAATTTCCGGTTGCTTTTTGTTTTCTCTTCGGGTTTACCATATCTAGAGGGGAGGCCACATAAGCCTTAGCTGGTTTCCATGCGGGTCCTTCATCCTGGTCGAATGGAATTTGGAGATGTTGGTTTTTGTGGAGGAAGGAAAACTGGTGAACCCGGAGAAAAACCCTCGGAGCAAGGCGAAAACCAACAACAAACTCAACCCACATATGGCACTGGGCTGGAATCGAACCCAGGTCACATTGGTGGGAGTCGAGCGCTCTTACTACTGTGCTATCCCTACTCCCTAGGTAGACTCCGCGGTGGGAAGTACAAGTTAAACAAAACCAAGCGATCTAGGTGAAATCTCTAAAAATGATAACAACTTTTTTTTATGTTAGCAAGTTATATCACTTTTTTTTTCATTTAACAATAGTATTATCTAGTCAGTACAGTCATAACATGAACACGTTCTGTAACATACATGGTATGGTGTAAACTAGACCAAGGTTCTGTCAGGGATTTGAAAAAAGTTTAACAGGGCAGGCAAATCTAAGCGTCAAAACCGACAAACTTAATAAATTAAAAAGACTAAGACATAAGAAGGCTCTCCCTTTGAACCAAAGTCGTTTAACATCCGGCAACCTTCCACTCCCCCTCCTGCTACGCTACCTTGTCTGAAACCGTCTGTCACAAAGACCGTGAACGACGACATACTTTAAGTAGTTGAGTGCATTCACACATGCTATCGAAAATCTTCCACGAGAGTAGAACACGTATACGGAACATAAACAACTTCATTGTTAGGGTTTCTGAAAATTGTTTCCCGCGGGTGGCACACCTCACCAGGAAGATTTTGAAAACTTTACACCGGAGAGAAATAAAACTCAACAGGGAGTTTTTTTGGGGTTTTTTTTTTTTTGTATTTCGCAAGGACGAGGGAGGTGAAATTTCACCAGGGATCGAGGCAACATAACTCGACAATCTGGGTTTAAACACCGCCTAGTAAAGACGTGGGTGCCATATTTTTTTTCCGGACAACTGATCCAAACTTTTACGTAACTTGTGATATGTTTAAGAGCCGTGTCGGATCGCCCACTTCAACTTCAAGTTATTTGAAAATCTCTGCTCACCTTAAAGGTGCACTCATTTGTTTGGTCATGCACAATGCCATTCTCTTCCTAAATATGGCGAAAAACGTTTGTTTCTTAGAATTGGAAAACATAGCAATCGATTTACTACTCATGCTAATTGATGGTTATCTACGTATTATGATTACTACAGACTTCTTGTAGCTCCCCTCGTGTGCTACCCTCAATAAATAAAGTTGAATGTTATTATTATCATTACTCATGATCACATGCACCATGAAAATGATTAGTGCTGAGCAGCAGTGGTCTTTTTTGATGGGTAATTATTATTCAGTCGTCTTCCATGTTTTACATGATAGTGTAACGTAACCTAACGAAACAAATGATCAAGAAACGAAGTAGAAAAGAAGCAAACGTACTGTTTTGGCAGGTTAATTCTCCAGATTCATGAATGTGTAATTTCTCCTCGCAAACAAAATTGATCGATATTAATCTTTTTTTCTTTCGAATTGGACCGTTTACTGGGGAATATTGTAACTATATCAGTATTTGGCAAGCGTGCAAACGCCAAAATTTAGCATATACTTGCCTTTCTTAGACCGAACGTTTCCCTGGAAGTTTAATCAAAATTGATCACCGCAGACAAAGGAACAAAGAGTTCTCCTTGATAGCAAACTGTTTCATTTTGCATAATGTAAACTGGCTTATGAATAGTAGTACATCGTAACGACAAACTTCGGCTGGACCGCTAAGAAAATCAAATACAGACTACTCCTTTGCTTTACTTTGTGACCTAGTTTACCATTTATTGAAAAAAATGCTAAATAAGCAGGTGACACGAATAAAATAATCAGGCCGTGAATTATAGAGTATTTTCTAGATGTACAGCTAAATTCTCCGAACTTTCAGTAAAGAAACATATCAAATTAATCAGGAGAATCTTTTTCCATCGAGTTTGAGGTAAAAGGCTCTTGATATCATGCGTTACGTTGCTGAGTCGGTACTCTTTCCGCCAGTGCTGTATTTTTAAATATGTTCTGAAATTCCAAGATTCAAGCGTTTTTTCGTCACCTTCAGAAATAAAATGGCCTTACCAAGACAAATGTTTGCACTTTTCTGGATGAGCGCAGATTTCCAAATAAGCTTAAAGTGGCCGGAGTGGGCGATATGTCACGGCCCTTGAACATTTCCACCGGTCACTGCAGCTGAAATAAATCTCGTATTATGCAATTTTAAATCAGATTTTTTTGGAAAAAATGTGACTGTAGAGATTCTTTTGAGTGGAATAAATGAAGTTGTTAGTACCTGGCAAAGAAAATTTTGTTATTAATTCTTTGCTAAATAGATAGTTAATTATTTCGTCTAGGTTGTTTGTTTGTGTATGTGTTACATGCTTGACCCGTCCGCGTACTCTACCGGCGATTTTACAAAAAAAAAGATAGCTTAGCTTTTGCTGGACTTGGGAGTTAACAAGATTCCGATAGGAAAATATTGAATGACAATAACTGGCGGCTTGCCTTTTTTCTATAATAGGACGTCAAACGCTTGCCAGACCTCATATCTTTTTACGGCATCTTCTTGACAGGAGCACTTAGCTAAAGCAGGTACTTCGAATATTGAGGTAAATAAATCGTGGTAACCTGCTGTATTTGACTTGATTGGAGTTTAAGCAGTCATCCGCATCATCACGCATGAATTGTTTATTACATCAACAACTCGAGCTTCTAGCCAATGAAAAGGTTGCCTTCAATGAGCATCGAAAATGATTTCATCCGTCGTGAGCTATTGATATCTGTTGCGTGAAACCAAATGACATTAGTCGCTTAAACTGTAGCCAAGAAGACATGCCGGTATTAGCAGGGTCACCGATATCACCTGAGAACCAGGTCAGTAAAAAGCTATATTTTTGGTATCTTTGACATTTACATATCACAATACATCACTTCAGATATATTCTCCTATACATTTCGGGTATTTTTTACATCAACAGAATGTCATCTCAAGATGTTATCCATCAAGACGAACAAACAACGGAGAATGAGATACGTCCACGGCATGCCATCCCTCTGAAGACAGTTAAGATGTCAGAACTTCTAGTTGTCTAACATGAAGAAAAGGGAAATGAGAGCTCAATGGGTACAGATATTTGAACGTTGGACAACTTGAACGTTAAGATCTGTACGATCTGACACTTGTTTAGAGCTGACGCCTTTAAAGAAAGGAAACGGATACCGTATGTATGCAGCATAAGGTACCGCCCCAGGGCAAAATGGGCCGCATAGACAATCCCAGTGTGAAGCGAACTGAAGACTGAACAACTGAAAGTGAGGAATCTTTGTGTTCATCTGCTTGTTGTTAAACAACGAGAAGGACTACAATGGATGAAAAACGCCGGCGAGAATTCAAAAGGCCATGACAATTTGTTAGCAATCAACTGGGCGTGAAGCCAACTGCAGGTGAAATCTCAAAAGCCCCTGACCGAGGTTACGTTTAACAACACGGTTATCAACAGGTGAGAGTGTAAACAGAAAAAAGTAAACCGTTTTAGACTCGCCGTAAATGGTTCATTCAAGAGTTCAGAGTAGTAGTTCAGTAGCCTGCATGAACCTTGTCTCGTTATTATATTTTGAGACATCTTTTAGCAAACTCGCAAATTATATTGAATTGTGACAATGTTTTCAGCTAAATACTATCAGTGTAATTAAGAGAAACAATCATGGTTATTCAAAGCGTTAACGCCCAATCTCTCCCAAAGAGCAAGGAAATGTCGGCCACGGAATAAGAAATACGACTGACGAGCGTATTATATATATATTATGCCAATGCTTCGCTCATTTTGAACTTGGGCTCAAATTTGAGAAGCCGTAATTGTTTTACAAACAATGCGAAAAGGAAAGAGAGAAGTTTGGTTTTGTGCAGGGCAGGTTTCGTATTGACCGATAGCAGGTATTGTATTCTCTTTTAACAAGGTTAGACTCTTTTAATAAGGCTAGACAAATTCTATAGAAAGACAAATTCTGCACTGAAAGAAGACGATTTATTTCAAACAACTAATTATTTCGTCGAGCATCAAAATGTTTACAAGACTGCAGCTATAAAAGGTCCTATATTTGTTCTTAATTCAGTTGCAGCAGACTAGCGGCCTTAAGGCGCTAAACGTGAGTGAACAATACTAAAAGAGTGACAGATCCAAACCATTTAAAGA